ACCCTATGGGGCCTCCCTGGGCGGCCACCAGCTCCCCCCGCCCAGTGCTGAGCGGCCATGCCGCCCCCTGCCCCGGGGAAATACCCTCTGGGGGGCCTCTGCCAAGCCTCGCTACTCACCCTCACTGGCTCCAGGCAGGGTCGTAGCCACGTTCACTGGGCTACTTGGGCGGTGGGTGACCCCATGGCTTGGGGATGCAAGTCTCCCCTCAGCCCCGCCTACCAGAGCCCATGTCCCCCTCTCGCATGGTCTGCTAGCCCCTGCCCAGCCTCCTCCCTTCCACCCCTGCACCCCGGCTGCTGGCCCTTGCTCCCTCCCTGCCCCAGGGTAGCACCCCCCAACCTTCCTTAGCTCTGGAGAGCCAGTGGGCATCATGGCCCCAGCCTGCCCCCACCCCAGAGCTCTGGAGAGCTGCGCAGCAGGCATGGCACAGGGCTGGGTGTGGTAGGGGCCAAGTAAGGCAGCACCTTCCACTGCCTCGTATACCTGCCACCCTTATCGGGCTAAGTAAAGAGGCGGAGGTTTCTCTCCCTGGGCTGCCTTGTTTTCACTAGGACCCCCGCCCGCCATGGCTAGAGCTAACCTTGGGTGAGAACAGACCTTTTCTACTGGCTGTGGCCAAGGCCTGACAAGTCCTGTGTGTTCACCACCTCGTTTATGCAGTTAAAAAGTAGCACTACACCCAGCCTCAACTCCCACCATAGGAAAGAAACATACTATTTATGCAGTTAAAGTAGCGCTACACCCAGCCTCAACTCCCACCATAGGAAAGAAACATACTTTCTGCTCACTCAAGCCTTGCCTACTGTAGCCTCCACCCCACATTAAGACTTGGAGCTTCTTGCTGCTCTGGTGCAATTCCACAGGTGGCAACAATGATGAGAGCTAGGGTAGACAAGACACCTGCCTTTTAATCCCAGTGTCATTTGTATTCTGAATTGAAATGACAACAACTTGTCTATGCTAATTATTTCACCACTGCTACCCCCAGATGAGATGCATCAATTGTAGTGCTGTAGTGGTACAACACAGCTACCCCCTCTTTGTTTTTGTTTTGTTTTTTAACTTAGGGATGCAGGTGCCCATGTTTTGCAAACAGAAAAAGAACTCCCCTATTCACATCAAATGCTGGCTTTCTCTGGTACACTTCTTGATTCATATATCCTTGTCATCTGAATTTTTAAATGAAAATTTTAATTAATTTGTGTTGTAGGCTTCAAGATATTTCTTAAAAGAACAATCATTTTGCTTTTTTAAAAGTGTAAACTGTACTGCCAGATGTATTTATTTAAACCTTTCTGTTTTTTTATAGCCATCTGTCTGCCTGGCTGTTCTGAGCGAAATGGATCTTGCAATAAGCCAGGAGAGTGCATGTGAGTAGATGATTATTTCAATCTGAACTTCACTACAGCTTTAACTTTTTATTGTAATTAACATATAATTTTTTTTTCTAGCTGTCGCCCTGGTTGGCAAGGCCGCTATTGTGATGAGTGCATTCCTCATATAGGCTGCCGCCATGGGACTTGTAAAACGCAATGGCAGTGTATATGCGATGAAGGCTGGGGTGGCCTCTTCTGTGATCAAGGTTAGTTTGTGTATTTCATGGGACTGAGCTAAGTAAGAAATGAAAAGGATTATCTACACAAATGAGCAATAAGCAACACTGCAAGCTGGAGTGTGATTCTACACACTGCTCCCCTCTTGTTTCCCCAGATAAATTTTTTCAAGAGATTAGAGCAGAGCACTCTAACCAACTGTAAATGCACCTCAGCAGGGTGCATGTGAACAGTTACTCCACAGCAGGCTAGTTCATGCTCTAGCTTGCCATGAACTGTTTATGTACACACAAGCCCTAAACCACAGCATCTGGAATAAATCTCTTCCAGTGAAATGTTAATAGGCAGCAATTTATTAAAAGGTTTTCACATTCTTTCATAATTTATTAATAGTATAGATGAAAACATAAGTGAACTTTTTGGTAACTTTTTGTATAAATCCACAGTTATATTGAATATGCAGTCTGTGTGCTTGTTCAAACAAGAATTTAAGATTCAGCTATTTATTAGTAGAAATCACATAGTTTACTAACTCTGACAGAAGTAATACCTCATTTGTGCCTTTCTTAGTTCTATACATGAGGAAGTAAACTTAAGAAATGTGCAAGAAAAATCACAAAGCAAGATTAGTATCCCTTAATATAGAATCTCTTTTTTCACACTACTACTACTTGCACACCCATTAGATCTATGAATTCTAGCCAACCAAGAGTGTCCTCAAGGCCTTAGTAATATTGTTGAAACAAAGATCATAAACTGCTGTTGTGAAACTGTGTAAATAGCTGCGGAGGTGGTTGTGATATGGTTGTTTCTTAAGCGTAGAATAGCAGGAAAAGCAGAAAATGTGCACACAATTATCTATTAGCCACCTGCATTCTAATTACTCTTCTTGTACGTAACCCAGGGACTGCCTGTATAAGATAGGGACTGTAGGTTTGTTCTTAAGTTGAATCTGTATGTAAGTCGGAACTGGTGTCCAGATTCAGCCGCTGCTGAAACTGATCAGTTTCAACAG